CACACACACACACACACACACACACACACACACACACACACACACACGGGACTTTCTGCTGCACCAGGGGAATTAACATTCCCTCCTCTTTTGCTAGAGCTCTTCTAGTTCAGTCTTTCATCCCTAGCAGATGGAATCACCACACAACACAGCCTTCTCTCTCACTGTAACCACATCACTCTTCCTCATTCAGCCTGAAATTGCTCTCACAAGCATTAATCCTCAAATATAAATAACGGGCCAGAATCCAGTGTCAGTTACATGATGAGGTTAATTATTCTATAGGCACAAATTTCTAATGTCGATAGACTTCACCCAAACTATAGAAAACAGCCTCCTCCCCCAAGCATGGTAGCACATCCTTGTAATCCCAGCACAGGAGTATCACGAACTCAAAGCCAGAGCTACAGAGCAACACCTGCTTCAATCTCTACCCAAAAGGTCACAAACAGCTTCTCAGCGTTAGCTCTGATTTAATGCGATGAGACCAAAGACGCTGGAGAAACAACGCGCACTGGCCCACTCCACTGTCTCTGGAACGGCTGTCCGCGACTGGTTCTTCTCTCCCCTTACACGGTGCGCCGCAGCTGGCTGGCTCGCCACCGGAGACCGCCCGCTCCGTTCCGCCGCGAGGTGGCTCGGCGAGGCTCCGGGACGCCGAGACTCCGCGGGATCCAGCGACGTCACTCAGCCCTGGCGCTGATTGGCTGGTCACCGGTGACCTTGGGGGGAGGAGCCAGAGGCAGCGCCGGAAACCGCGGACGGGCGCGGGCCACGTCCCGAGACCGGGCGTGCGCACTCCAGATCCCAACCGCTGCGGAGGCCCGTGCACCTCCTCCTCTGGCCTGAGGGGGCATCCTCGCGTCTAGGCGGGGCGGGGCGCCACCTGCGGACGGGGTCACGGCGCCGCGGGCCGGCGAGAGCGAGGAGGGGTCACAAAGCCTCGCCGAGTCACTCGGAGGGTGTCTCTCAGTGAGAGGAGCACAGGGAGGAGGGGGCAGCGCCGGGGGCTCTGGGCGCGCACCGATGTGGCAGGGTCGTCCCGGGAACGGTTCCCCCGACGGAGAGCGGGCCCCGAGGGGCGGCGGCCTTTGAGGGGCGCGGATCTCGCCGGGGGGTGGGCCTGGCGGAGGGCGGGGCCTCCCCGCAGGTGCAGGCTTCGAAGCGAGGGTCGTCAGGACAAAGAAAGGGGAGGGCGGCCGGGGCGCAGCGCCGGAACCCGAACTTTACTTGGGCGCTCCGGGATGGAGTGAGGCGGGGTCGGGGCGGGGATGCGGCGGCCGGAGGCTCCCTACAGCGTGGAGCACCGCGACCACCCGAGAAGGCAGGGCTGAGCGAGCCCCGAGACTTAGGGGGTCGGGGTCAGAAGACCCCAGAGATGGGCAGTCTGGGTGGGGCGCCGACGGGGCGGGCAGCGGAGCTGATCCTTGGCGCCCAGGGCGCGGCCGGGTTCGCGCCCGCAGTCAAGCCTTAGGTCCTGCGGTTCACGCCCCGGCCTACGCGGGGTGCGCACCTGAGGGGGCGTGACCGGCCGCGGCCCGGGCTCCAAGGAGTTAACGGCAGAGCGGGCCC